TTCTCCTAAATCTCAAATTTGCCAAAATTATGGTGTAGTCCTGCAGGAATCCTCAGGAATCCTGTGAGTCCTGCAGGATTCTGTGGGGGACTGATAAGTACTGCCACAATGCGTGATTTGACATGCCACATTTTACAAACTGCTTCAATGTTTGCTACTCTTCCCCCAAGCCAACCACTTCAGTCACCCACCTTGAACAAGCTATTAGCCTTGTAAAATGTAAGAATGTATCCAGGCTAATAGGTTGTGTGGCCATTTATTTTTTTGCCTTTGGGAGAAAATATAATATTGGATTGGGTAGAAAATGTTTGACCTTTAATATTGTGACCAAAAATGTTTGGGTAGATAAATTGTGTTCAAAAATATCCTAGTCAAGTGAAAATGGTCAGAAATATTTGAAGGGGTTCAGACTGGTAAGAAAATTTTTGAAGTGTGTCAGACTGGTAAGAAATGTTTGAGCCAAGTCAAACTGGCCAGAAATTTTTGAGGTGTGCCAGAGTGGCTAGAAATATTTTAGTGGTGTGACATCGCTCAGATATGTTCTAAGCATGTCACACTGCTGAAAAATCTTTTAGCCTTGTCACATGGCTCAAACATATCTGACCAGTGTCACAGGGTATCTGGGGTCCCAGTTTCAAGAAAAAAACTTGGTTTTTCTGTTGCAGTTTTCTCTATATTTTGTACATCAGTTTTTTTGTTTATTTCTTATTTATCAATAGTCAAAACAATGAGTCTGTATAGCTGTTTTGAAACTCATCAGATAAAGCTATCATTTCGACAGCCTCCAATGACTCTGTCTCTTCACCCTCTTCTTCATCACCCTCATCTTCCTCATCATCTTCCTCATCTTCACTTTCATGATCATATATCTCTCTTTCATTCTCAGCAACCATGGCAGTCATTTCCAACTTGTGTGCCTCCACAAGATCTTCCAATGAGGGTCCCCATGAATCTGACATAGGTTTGTGAGAATCAATCATACATATTTTGTCTTGCCAGTTGTTGCATAAGTGTGCTAAGAATTCTGCATGCAAGACCATCTGATAGACTACTTCTTCACTTTCGTTCTTCTTGATAGCCATTGTTACACATTTCCACTCCTCAATGAGCCAATCTTGCATGGCACTTCTCTTATATGATAGTCTCCTTTCTTCTTCATTACATCTATCTAACTTAAGCATGGATTTTATACCCTGTTGTCCACTCTCAATGTGAACTCATATAAGTTAGCATCACCCAGCAGGTTTCTCCAGCTTTCCCCTATTGTTTTCATCAACACCCCTCTTCTATCTGCCATGTTCACCATTTAAAACTCAACCAAGTTAGCATCCTCACCAACACCCCCCTTCTATCTGCCATGTTCACCCTTCAGAACTCAACCAAGTTAGCATCACCTAGCAGGTTTCCCCCATTGTTTTCACCAACACCCCCCTTCTATTGGCAAAGGAAGTTGTCCACTCTTAATGTGAACTCATATAAGTTAGCATCACCCAGCAGCTTTCCCCCATTGTTTTCACCAACACCCCCTTCTATCTGCCATGTTCACCATTTAAAAGAAACACAAACCTTTCTTAACTTGTCAAAACTATTCAAAAGATTTCATAAAGATTTCTTAGTGTGCAAAACCATTTCTTGCTCCCAAATATTTATATAAAATAATTCTTTGCAAGCTAAACATTTCCAAATACGACATGAAATATCTCACAAAGATTTCTTGTCAGTACAAACATTTTGAAGAAGATTTCTTATCCAGTCAAAGATCTTTGACTTGTAAACATTTCCAAGTACAATAAGAAATATTTCACAAAGATTTCTTGTCAGTACAAACATATTTAAGAAGATTTAGTCAAAGATCTTTGAACTTGTAAACATTTCCAAGTACAATAAAAAATATCTCACAAAGGTTTCTTGTCAGTACAAACATATTGAAGAAAATTTCTTATCCAGTCAAAGATCTTTGAACTTGTAAACATTTCCAAGTACAATAAGAAATATTTCACAAAGATTTCCTGTCAGTACATACATTTTGAAGAAGATTACATATCCACTTAAAGATCTTTGACTTGTAACATTTCCAAATATAAGAAATACTTGGGGCCCAATCATTTCTGAAGTCAAAAATATCTCACAAAGATTTCTTAACTCAGCCAAACATTTTTGAATTTGTCAAAAAACATTTCACAACCAGAGATCTTCAAACTTGTAAACACAAATTTACATTACCACATTAAATATTAAATGAAGGGGAGAGGGAGTGGAGGAGTGGTAGGCAGTAAGTAAGAGGGGTGAGGGTGGTGAGCACTGAAGAGGAAGAGGGCGAATGAGGTGGGTGGTAGGCAATGAGAGAGGGGGGAAGGGGGTTGGTAAGCAATGAGGAAGGGGGGAAGGGGGTTGGTAGGCAATGAGGGAGGGGGGAAGGGGGTTGGTAGGCAATGAGTGAGAGGGGTGGTGGGCAGTGAATGAGAGGGGGTGAGGGTGGAGGTTGTCGCCATCCGTCGTTTGTATGCCCTCGTCATCATCATCGTCATTTGTACGCCCTTGTCATTGTCGTCGTCATTTGTACACCCTCGTCGTCCTCATCGTCATTTGTATGCCCTTGTCGTCCTCATTGTTTGTACAGCCTGGTTGTCGTTGTCATTTGTACACCCTCATCCTCATCGTCGCTTGTACGCCCTGGTCGTCCCGTCGGTTCTATGCCCTCCTTGTCGTGGTCCGTCGTTTGTATGCCCTGGTCGTCGTCGTCCATCGTTTGTTCACCATCGTGGTTGTTGTTGTCGTCCTTTGCCTGTTCGCTGTCATTGTCGTCCAACTTTTCACCCTTTGGTGTCCTCATCACACCATTGATCGGCGTCTGTCCTGCCTGGCGTCATTTCGCATCGTGACATGACATGGCCGCTGTGCTATCCATCAAGGGCTGGAGGACAAGGTTCTTTTAGTTATGTGAATAAAGAAAGGGGGAGGGAGGGACTTAGCGTGGTTGAGATAAATGACGACAACGATTACATCGTTGTCATCCCTCTGTGAGGCATAGAGGCCATGTCGCTGACTGCGATGTGGCCTGGCTTGCTCCTTGGTCATGGCCCTGGGGCCATGACATGTGTTGGTCGTGGTTTTTCATGGGCGGTGGTTGATTTTCGTGAGCGCTGGTTGTCATGTGTTGTCAGTTGTCGTTGCCAAGCGGTCATGGTCAATTGTTGGGCATTGGTTGTTGTCTCCGTTGCATGTGTTTTCGATGTGGCATGGCGGCAATGTGGTGGAGGGGAGGTGTTAGCCGTCAACCGCCCACTGGTGGAGTGGGCGGTCGACGGTGGTGGGCCTGTGTGAGTTATGTGGGTGGTGATAGAGGCAATAGGGTGCTGTGCTTACCACATTGGAGATAAACCGACGATGACAACGACATTGTCATTGTCGTCATCCGTCATCTCCCTTCGTGTCCAACGTAAAATGACAACAACAACGACAGTTACGTCGTTGTCATTGTCATCTTCCCTCGTCCATCTGTGCATTGTTGTCGTCATTCCTTGTCCAGTTGCATCACATACTTGCAATGTGGCTGATGGCGACATCGCTCCTGAGGTCGAGTGAGGTGGAATTTGGGGTCGTTGGTGGTGGGGGTCAAGTCGTGGGTTGGTCGTGCGGTTGACATGGAGTAGTAACGTCACAAAGTCACAGCGTGTGATGTTCGCATCAACATTCATTCTGATGGCATAGAGAGTTCTGAGTAACTTGAGAACTGCTGAACTGGCAAAAATTAATGGCAATTGCAGTGGGTAAGTACTAAAACAACACACTAGTCCACATAGGTGAATTTCTGTATACCTCAAAATCCAAAAAGCAACATGTATTAATTTGGTAGAATGAAAGCAGGCTGGCAGGATCTCCACCCCCCAGGTCTTGCATGTATTGTCTCCTTGTGTATGCACATATTCAGTGTCTTCATGCTAAAGCTGTTGTCTTGGAGTAAGTCAAATAAATATTCTCCTTGTTGCTGCTCTTCTACTATGGTATCAATGAACAAAAAGTGTGAGGTTGTTAGCTGTACTCAGTGTAAGTAAAATCACCTACAAGTACAAATAACTAAGACATTTCAATGATTTCATCACAACTTCTACCTTCAAGTTAATGTTCTTCCATAGTGCAGTAAATACTACAGTCTATGGCATACCTTGCTCCTAAGAATTGTATTCAAACCAGTTTCAAACAAGTTGAACTGAACTGAACATACATACATGTTTTTCAATAACAGGTGGGTTGCATTAGAAACTGAGCTCTCTGTTGCTGGTATATCTCATCACTATTACACTAATAATGATTCCAATAGTATTCTATCAACTTCTATCTAATTTTGATTACTTTATGTAAATGATTCATACTGTATCATTAGTATACTGACATGTCACAGTATTGCGACAGGATGTCCAAATGGGCATGATTGTAATATATATATAACTGTTAGAGTTCTTTGACTATTCCTGTGAATATGAAGTCTGTCAGTAATTGTAGAATCAAGCGAAACTTACCTGGATTAACTGGTACAGTTTCACATATGTAGAATAGATCGACAAGTGAGTTTAAAAGGGTAATCCTTAGATCATGTGAGTTTTCATGTACTTCAATGTTGACAATGAGCAACTCAGAAACATTGGTACTAGGACTTTGAAAAACAAGTAGTTTGATCTTTACTAAATACTCAATATAGTCACTACTTAGTCTTGACTTCAAGGGGGTGGCAGAATGTGGAAAATGTACCAACACTCCCTATTTTTTTCTCATGGATTTGGTTGACCTCCCCCCCTCCCACTCCTACTATATAAGGTATGTTTTCCGACTTCTGATGTTTTATTGGATGTTTTTTTGTCCCACAGTCCTGGCTTGTACCTCAGCCCAACCTCAGCCCCTGCCTCTGTATCAACTGAGAACTCACAAACTTTCAAATAACAGTTGAAGATGCTCTGCATGCAAGTCTTTGCATGGAGGAACATATGTGAAAAGTGGCGAGTTTAACAAACTGTCAACACCGTATTTACATGCAAAATAATAAATTGTAAAGTAGAAAAAAGGCTCATTCAGGCAAAATTGTGTAAAGCTTAGCCATGGCGTAGAAAGCGGCTTTCCGCTTTCACCAATGAAAGCCTTGAACAAACTTCCTTCTTTCTCACAAAGTTTGTTGGAGGGGGATCCTCAGAGTCGACC